TGCCATTTTAAACATTTTTTCTAATTCTTTATAGCTTTCTCTTGGGTGTTTCTTATTCACCTCACATTGTGGAATATCGGAATTAACTTTCAGAATATAAGTATTATTTGCGTCATTTCATTTGCTACAACTGGGAACAAGTGGAATTATCGTATCGGGCTATCCTTTTCCTATGGCTTGCTCCTTCACACTGTCCTCTTTTGCTTGCCAGTTTTCAACTGACTGAACATATCTTCAGATACGTTGCCCTGTTGGTACAGGTTTGAGGAACTGGGGCCTCAAGTACAATAGGATCAGGGACATTTTGGTGTGAGGTAGAGTATTGCACCAAGGTTTGGCAATGCTTGATATGTAAAGGATTTTCAAAATCCAGTGGGTAGATGAAAACATCTCTCTGCTTTTACACGAACTGGATTATTGCTTCATTCTGAAGGGTACTTAACTCCCGAATTGGCTACTGGTTGAAGCTGTTGTTTGTGGGCAGATGCGAATAATAAGGTTTGCTTTTTTTCTTAAACCTGTCACTTTACGGCAACTTAACCCTGCTCTGTGAATGCATCCCTCAAGGTACATTGTGTCTTAGAAATTACACTCACTGTTTTGTCACTTGGAAAGTAGATGCACCAATATTCGGCCTTTTCCATTTTCAAGCAGAATTATAAAAACGTGAGGACTGGTAAATGTTAAGACAAAACTTGCAACCCATTCCACAAAGTGTCCCCCTTGGCTCCTTCGGGGTCAAGTTTGTTGTATTCAGTAATGGCTAAGTTGAAGGCTACCACGTGACAATTTTCCTCAAAAACTGTGCATCAATCCCAAAAAACGTTAACACGGGGGTCACATTACTGAAATAATATTTCAAAATGTATAGTCATTAATTGCGGTTACCCATCGTCCTTTTGTAAAAGGACTCTTTACGTCGGGAAAAGGATGCGTGACCACCTTTTCCCAGGGTAAATTTACCATCGTGTATTTCCATTGATACGTCAAAAAGAAAAAGAATCGCCCATGACTTTTGCGAGGTAAGAATAAGTGGGTTGTTAGTCCCCCAAGATAAAATGACCAATCACAAGGCAAACATAGACTTACATATCAGTCACTCAATTCACACTGTAAAAGATACTTTATGGCCAGAATCAGGCCTGGTTCAAGCTATGTCAGGCTATAAATTTTCGTATGGGTAAGGTTCCATGTTGATTAAATTCAACCACACAGAGCAGAAACTGTATTCAGAACCGGAACAAAACGCTAAAAATCACATGATTTCAAACATCAAGTTTCACATGACCTGATGTCATGCTGTAACACTATAAAAGTCCGCAACACTCCCCTTGTTGACAAGATTATTATTTGGCTACCTAGTTCTATCCGCTCAACAAAACCCTTACGTACTGTTGAGAAGGCCAACGATAATTCATAGGAAAGTACTAAGTTTATTAAGTCAGATCCTCCAGCCAGTGGTCTTCCTTCTTTGGTCAGCCTCAATGGGAGCTGCTCGTTTTGGGAAGCTCCATGTAGACACCGGTTGCTCAGTTCTCACTTCAGTGTTAAGTAGATCAGGATTCCAGCCTGAGCTTGCTTCCGTTATTTGTTGGACAGAAACTTCACTCTGGATCTCTAAAGGGTAAAGCCGCTGTACTGGGCGCCTGAGTTTTGTATGTTTTCCTCGCTCGCTTCGCACTTGGACAACAACTCCCCTGCTACAATCATTAGATCCAATGACAAGATCTAACGTCTTTCCAACACACCACTTTCTTCTCGGCTCATCTTGATGCACGACAACTACATCTCCAACAGGTTCGGTTCTGTCAGTGTCATTCTGGTTACGGTAATAATGGGCATTTTGCAGCTTGATCAGGTGCTCATTTCTCCAGCTTTTTCAAAAGTGGTTCAGAACGTTGCTCAGGTGGTGCATTCTTCTGCTTAGATCCTGTGGCTGAAGATCAATGTCATAATCTGGAGTGTTGCTGGTGTTGCTCTTTGGAAAGCTCATTAGGCATCGCCCACATAAGAGGGGGGATGGGGTAAGGGGTTCTTCGGTGTCTTAACCTGACTTGAAGGACAGAGGTCTGCAGTTCAGTATCACTTCAACTTAAGCAGTTCTTCATAGGTGAGGGTTGCACCACCGATGGTCTTCTTCAGCCATTTGTTAACAGATCTTACAAGTCTTTCGAATATGCCACCCCACCAAGGGGCCTTTTCATGGTTGATAGTCCACTTCATTCGTGCATTGGCAAAGTTTTGTTTTAATTCCTTGTCGTTCATCAGTTTCATGATTTCTTGTGCTGCTGACTTACAGGTTTTCCAATTATCAGACACCATCAACAGTGGAGTGCCGCGATGGGTGGAGAATCTTCTGAAACTTCTCAAGGCTGTGAGGCTGGGTATGAGATCCAAATGAGTAGCTCTGGTGACACAACAAGTGTAGAGGCAGATCCATACTTTCCGCTGAGGGCCAAAATGATTTTTGACACAGAGAGGTCTCGCAAAATCGAGTCCAGTGTAGGTAAATTGTGACCATTCCTTTACTCTAAAATCTGGAAGAGGCAGGGGTGGTTGGGATTGAAATTCAAATTTACAGCAAATTACTCACTTGTACAGTAGCTTTGTAACGAACTGTTGACCTGTTAGGGTCTTACAGTCAAAACGCAATTCACAAGCAGAAAGGCTGAATTAATTTGATGCTATTTGTTCGTCCGTAATACTTTTGAAAGGCGAGATAACAACAGTGGTAGGCTGTTGCATAAACAAACATCTGATAAATAGGGCTTTTGCCAAATCCTGTTTGTAGGACACAGAATACATCCTTTTCCCTGAGCAGCAACTCCGAAGCTTCCCTCTGCTCCGTTTTCAAAACAATAACTAGCGTTTTATCACGTAAACAAGATCATTCATAAATATGTTGAATAGAACAGTTGCTCGTCCAACTGTTCTTTGGATGGAATAGAAAATGATGCTTCTCCATCATTTTCTTTAGTCGCAATGTTGCTGGCTTAGCATGGAAAAATGTTGATGCAAGCTGGGCTAATTCATGGTCGACACTTTTGCCTCCCTGCTCGCTGAAGAAACCTAGACGGAAGTGCCATTTGCTCCTGAAAGGAATAACATATTCCTCCAGCACGTGGAGCTGCGGAGGAAAGGAATTGTCTGGGAAATTTGTCCTGAAGAAGCACACAAACTCTTTTACCTCTCTCTGTCAACAACAAGTATAAAAATAGACAAAATGTTAGAATGGCAGGAATATTCTGTGTCCTCTATTGCCTCATTGGAATTGTATTTTGAATGGCACTGGGCAAACAGGGTTAACAGTGATTCAAACTTTTTCTCAGTAGCAGTGGCCTTATGTAATAGAGATGGAGATGTGCTCCTTGTTGTTTCAGAAATGGTTTTACACAAGTATTTCATGTTGTTTGTCTGAAAAATGATAATAATATAGTTAAACTTTATTATAATTATCATCATAGATACAAGTCTGAATAGTTATCACTAATATAGATAAGTTTTTCACCCTGACCAAATGTCAACATGATTGGCAGCAAATTTTTGACTGTGGAGGGCTTGTCTTTCAACATTAGTGTTCTCTAGAAATTTCTCAATCGCAGCATTTATCACCCCAGATCCCTTCAGTAGTGAAGTACTGGACTGAATGGTTAGTGACTGTGCTACCTACAAAAGTGAATAACAAGATTCAGAAAGAAGAAACTGAAACCAGTGCCAAGAAAACCTCATTTCCATTCATCAACCTGACATAAAGTATTTAGTTGTTCAAGTTAAGAAATAATTGTTCTAAAATTTAACTGTTTTTCTGTAAGTACATATGCTTTACAAGTAAACAAAAACCCCATTTTCAGTTTTCTCTCTGAACTCTTACGACGTTAAGTAATGATGTTAGCAAAGGGTTTTCTTTGCCCTTTTCAAACTATAACATTGCTGGCCACAGTCAGAAGGTGTACCATGTATGCCTCAGTTAACGGAGAAGCTTGTGTGTGGTAATCTTGGGGTGCTTTTGAGTGTTTTGTGGCTTGTCTAAGAAGTGCGTTGTGCTCATTTAAATCATGCATAACATCTAGCTGACTACTGCTTTAAGCCAATTTCCAGGCAATCTTTTTATCCAACTCATCACACTCCCCAAAAAGCATATTAAAAAGGTACAAAGACAGTCCAACGCTAATGTGGTGACCAGGAATGCATATCTAAAGATTATCATGCAAAACAACTTACTGAAATAATACTAAAGGAAAAATGTACATGATGTTATCTTGAACAAGGCTTCTAGAAAAGATCTTTTACCTGGTCAATTGGGATTTGAAAAAATGCCTTCTGGATTACATTGCAATAGTTCCTTGCCTTTTTCATGTCACCCCCATCATCAATGAATTTTTTGTAGCAATCCCGAAGGTGTTCTAGGGTACGTGATGTTGTAGGGTTTCTGTGATCCACTGAGAGGTTCATCTCACTAGTTATGATACTACACCACAGGCATGAATGACTTCCTTCGAAGAATGTTGAATGTAAAATGTTAAATGTTGAAGTGAATACTTTAGCATTCAAAGTGCATTTCAATCTGTTAAATTGATTTGCTTACCACTTGCACCACTGATCCCCATAACTTTACAAAGGAATTCGTAATCCGCAAAAAGCAATAATACAGGGATTTTGTCCCTAATCCAGATTAATATTAGAATAGAGATTTTTATTACCAGTATTTGCTTTTAGTGATTAACAACTTATGTGATTTTTAGAGTAGTGAGCCCCTTTAGAGAACCAGCAGGCTGTTGAAGGACTATGAGAAGATTGTTCCGGGTATTCGCACCCTCATAAATGACAAATACCACAGTTTTTGCTAGAATTGGGTTTGATGAGACCCTTGCCAATGATCTCAAATTTTAACAAAAAGTTTGTCTTCTGATTTTTTGCCATTTTGCCAAGTAAGGTGGCCAGTCCTGCAAAATTAAGTATTGTTAGGAGCTGTTAAAAACAATCCTCTATTAACATGTCTTCTAGTGTGTTAGGAATAAGATGCATAGTCTTGCATACGTGCTGACACAGGCACAGGGAGTTTCCTCTATTACTGTAACAGTCTTGTTCGCTTGCCTTTCTGTGCATTCCATCGGGAGAAGTTCCTCTTCCATTTTGTTGCCTATATGCTCCCTCTTGCGTATTCTTTGCTTCTTCTCACTCTCCGTCTTGATTCCCCATTGCTTAAACCACCTTAATGTTAAAACTCTCAAATATCCCAACTCAGTACTGAAAATATTTAATTGAACTATTTTGTTTTTGCCTAAAAGAGAGTCAATTAGAGCATGATGAGTGAATTAAAACATGATTATGTTAGCACATACCTTCTTAGTTTATTTAGACAGTACGAGGTTATTCCCAGATCTGCCTTCATGGCACTTGCTTGACCCTCTGAAATGTCGGTAACAAGTTCCTTCGCCTGGATGTCATGTGAAATTTGCCTTCTTTCCTCCTGTCTCTTCTGTGTAAGGGTGTGTACTATGTACACATCCATCTGGTCACTGCTTATGGTTTTACCTACTGTCTTAATTCCTTTTGTCCTATTAAGACCCTGCCTAGCAGTCAGTTGAATGTTTTTGGGCAAGAGGAGCATGTACTAAAGGCTAAGCAGGCCCGTAGGAATTAATTTGAAAGTGCAAGGGCACGACTGTTGTGGGCCGATACCCTTCCCCCCCTTCACCGCTGGCATCAAATCTTGAAAGTCTAAACAGTCAAACCCTGTTAAGATGGACACTTAGGGGAGCATAGGAAGTGTCCTTATGAAGTGGGTTGCATTTACAGAAAATGTAAAAGCTTTCTTTTCCCAGGGACAAAAGAAAACTGTCTGTAAGAACAGGGTGTCCATATAAAGTGGGTGTCCGTAAAGCAGGGTTTCGCTCTAATAGAGACTGGGCCATTTATTAAGCACTTTTAGATATAGTTTATCTCCACTTTCAGGCTTCTTCAAGCAATGTTTAACCTGTATTGTACTTAAAAAAATACCTATGATCTGCTACATAACATTTGATCAATATCTAGTTTGAAATGGTGACAATTAATATCAGCCAGGTATAATACAGATATTAACAGACGATAGAAAAAAGGGTGCGGTGTCTGTTGAGTGTCTACTCGAAGGTACCATATTATTGTGACAATTGGGGCTTTAGAATTTATCGACAAACCAGCCCGATCACAGTAGTTGTAAATATAGTGGTTTCCATCAGTTCTAATTAATTAGCTAAAAGTTTAACGTAGGTCAACTTCTGAAAAGTGTCCAAATTTTGAGAAACTGTGAGAGCCTTGGACGTAAAAGTCATTAGCAACATCAAGTAGATTCAAGTTGTCCGCGTCTTCCTTGTATACTGACACTATCAGCATAAGGTTGTTCATCCTTTTTTGTGTCATGGTAGGCCCAAGGCATTGCTTGATTCTTCTTAAGGCACTGTAAGACCTTTCACTCGAAGCATTTGTGGTAGGCATAACTAATATCAGTTTCACTAAAACTGTTGCAGTCTCACTGAATGAGGCAATGCCATTTGCATTAAGAAATTCTTTTATGGATAAGACAGAGGCATGGAACTTTCTTGAGCATGCATTTTCAAAACAGTAAGTTGCATTTCAAGACATTTCCTGCTTATATCTGAACCATAAAAATTGCAGCTAGGTTGATGATGACTCACTTGGGAAATGGCCTCCTGAAACTGTCTCGAAAAGCAAGTTTTTGAGATTCTTATAGATTTAGGGACTGGTCAAAAAGTATAGGGGAGGGTGGACCGGAGCATTTGGAAATGTGGTTGATAAAAAACACATGGCCCACCCCCTCCCTTCAGAAAAAATGACTGACCCACCCCTAAAGCAAGGTTGGAAATTGCATGACCCACCCCCTAGTTAAAACATGAATGTTTGGTTTTCTCTTAATAATCCAATAAAACTTTGTTTTGTGCTTGACAAAATTAATTTTTTTTGTTGTTTGATACACTGCTACAACCAATATCAAAATCACAGAAATCATACCTTTCACTGAAAAGACAAATGTGAAAAACCGAACAGTTCTTGTTTCGATGGACGTTATGGGTCTTGACACAAATATACAGCAAAATGAGGGTATATTGAAACTGTCTGTTGCAAAGCATATGAAAATTTCTACAAAGACAACCCATTCCTACAAATTACTTGCTGGAAATGCTTAGATTAATCCTCAAAGAAAAAATTTCTTCCATTTCAATGGAAAGCACTACCTACAAAACCATAGAACTGCTACAGCACAAAGACAGCAGTTTTGATTGCTAATTGCCAATATTTTCATGACATATATTGAACAACAACTCTAAGCAAAACTGTCTTTAGAACAACAGTTTGGAAATGCTACATACACCATATCTTTTTCCTATGGGACATGATTAGACCAGACATGGAAGCCTTCATTGAACAAGCAAACTTACATCACCCAACTATTGAAACATTTGACACTGAGACTGCGTTTTTAGACACAGTTGTATACAAAGGCACAAGATTCAAGGAAAAATCTATCCTTGATGGAAAGACACATTAAATAAACAAACGGAAACCTTCTTGCACACACATTTCACCTCGTGTCACCCTCCAAATGTTAAAAAAGGATTTGTCAAAGGCGAAGCCTTGAAAATCCTACGAAAAAACTCCTCAGAAACAACCTTTGAGGAAAATAATTCAAATTAAAAAAAAAAACGCTTGATGAATGGAGGGTACCCACAATCTTTGATAGAAAACCTACAATAAATAAAATTCACAAAAGGAAGTCTAATTTCCTAAAACAAAACAACAAGGAGGAAAAAGGCATATTGCCATTCGTGACACAATACCAGCCCTCAGTGTCTACTATAAAGGAAACTTGAATGAAAAAATGGAATCTTATACAAAACCAACGATAACTTCAAAAAGTTTTTAAAGAACCATCAATCATTTCCTTACAAAAATGGAAAATCATTAAAGGACATGCTCGTTATTGCCAAAAAGGTTAACAGAGGGTTCCACGCCCGTATAGATGTGCGGCCTGTCACCCTTTCTATTTTCTCATGCAACATGTTTGTGAGTATTTTAGCAATAATTCCAGCTCGGGCTGTGTTTTATATCACAAGTGTAGTCAACTGTCTCGTTAGTAGTTAGTGCCTATCTATGTAATAAAATAGGGTCACCCACCCCCTAAGGGTAGCTGAAAATTGCATGATCCACCCCTTGCAGAAGGCTCAAAACCTCATGACCCACCCCCTCTCTGCTCCGGCCCACCCCCCCTATACTTTTTGACCAGTCCCTTAGGGGGCATAGCGTGAGATTTTTTGAAGTGTACGCAAAGAAAAAAAAGTTAGAAGTCCGAAGGTGATCCAAAGTACGGGGGATCACCGTCTGGGGGCATGCTCCCCCAGAAAATTTTTAAATTTTGGGGCTTGGAATTTTGTGTTATCCACAGGACACTTTAATAAATAGGAAAGAAAATGCAAATAGTTAGAATATATTTTACCCATCTCTGGTGTTGTCATTAAGGTACAGTGTTCACAGAAAACAGGTAAAATAGTGATGCCATCAAGGAAATTACAAGCAAAGGGCGAGATAGCCTGTCTCCTTGTCTCTAGTGATTTGTTTGCTAAGGGTGATACATTTACCCCTCAGACGGGCAAGTGACACCAATATAATGCGAAAAACTTACCAGTCACCTTTGTTTTATGATAAAAATGCTTTCGGGTAATAAGTATATATATGTATATGTAGATAAAAGATGAACTTCAGGAGTCGGACTAGTTCAAAAACATTTAATCGCTACTCGGAGTTTCATGCCTCTAAAGAAGCAATCATCAGGCGACTGACAACATTAGCGGTCACATGTAAAGATATACAAATTTGAAAAGACGTAAGAATTCTGATTGGACGGCTAAAATGCTTAGCGAACAGGTAAATCTATATTAGGTTATCGCGGTATTTAAAAGAAATTTCTTAGAATGTCTACAGATCGATGACAGTTCATTTCTACGATTGAGTGTCGACATTTCCGGTTTGCAAATAATAAAGTATTTCTCCCACAGGCAGAGATTACATTTCTTGTTGACATTAGAGTAAGACCTAGCTTGCTTTACTTTTCTCCACTTAATTTGGTAATCAATTTTGCGTTGTTTTAGGTTCCATACGTATTTGCTAAGCTCTGTGCTATTCCTGTATCTTTCGTTCCTGAAAGAGCATTTATGGTTATTGAATCGTTCCTTAAACATCGTGTCACATAGGCCGACGTACGTTTCTTTTGACTGTGGAGTCGTGACCTCTGCTTGGTATACAATGTTCTGGATTTTGCAATTTCCCTCAAGCAGGCAAGAATCTTTTTTACGGCAATTGCAGCCAGCGACTTCTTCTGATTGGGCTACTGGTTTGCTGATCTGGGCTTTGTTGTGGCTGGAGATGATAGTTTTCACGTTGCTCATGCAGCTGTAGCTCAACTTAAGGCTGTTCCGGTTAAATATATTATGCAGTGGGTTTGATTTGGGGAAATGCAGATCAACTAATTTGAGGAAGCATTTTCCGATTTTCTTTTCAACATTTTGGCTGTAAGGTGGGTTGAACCAAGTAATGTTTCTATGCCGTTGGTTTTGTCGTGATGTTTTAGGGATTGGCACTTTGTATGAAAGATTGTAATTGTGGCCACATTTATTAAGAGCATCTTGGTATGCATCCTTGGCTTTGTCAAAGCATTCCTTGTCAGATGAGATTTCACTTAGGCGCTTATTGATGGATTCGGGAATGTTCTTTATGATGGAAGGTGGGTGATTCGATTGCTTGTGTACGTAGATGGGTGTATTTCCTTCTTTCATGTATGGGGAGTGCTTTTCGCTTTTTAGGTCGAGTGTGACATCTAAAAAATTTACTTTGGTGAGGTTCGCTTCCACGGTGATTTTAAGATCATTGTCGCGGAAGATCTGGCAGATATCTTTCTTAACTCTTTCGATCTCACGTGATGTTTTGTTGAATGCCGACAGCCCGTCGTCACGATAGAGACCGATGTATATATTATTCGGTTAGATGTTCAGCGGTGAAGCCAAGACAGTGCTCTACTTGCCGTAAAGGAGCGGAATAGACCAGTAGGTGAACTACTCAAATCCTGAGTGCATGGGTGTTAAATACAAGCCTGTTTCGTAGGCCACTGAGAAGGTGACCCACTCTTCAGTATACATATATGTAAAATATTATATAAGATGTCAGCTGTATGCACAGGCATATGTGTGTCAGTATGGTAGCCTGTGAGAGCATCCGTCTTTTTCAGCTCATTCACTAATAAGTCGAAGACTTCAAAGCCTTGTTCAATTCCGGAAAAATGTGTGTCAGGTTGTCCTACATCTATGTGCTTTTCCAGCATTACAGGGGTTTAAATGGACTTGAGAGGTTAAAAAATTAAAAAATCTGGCACCAGATGTTGTTTTTTTGTCCACGCCAGTGCACTTATGAAGAAGGCTTAGGAAAGCTGACAAGATAAAAATAAACGATAAGCTCACTTTG